GCCTCTTAGGGAATCCTATGAGGATACGAGATAATCACTGACATTCAGTGCTATTAAGGATGAAACACACTCAAGGAAAAGTTAACAGGTGACACAGGTATTAAGGACACATTACAAAAATCGTGGACATCTCTAAAGGTGTTCATTACGAACATTCCAGCAGCAATAATATGGGATGAGTGCTTTCTTAAACTGAACGATGTTAGTTGGAATTTTTAAAAGATGTTTTCATTCATTGCTTGTGTAATTAAAAAAAACTTTCAGCTGAGAGCAGTGGCTCACGCCTATAATCCTAGCATTTTGGGAGGCCGAGGCAGGAGGATCGCTTGAGGCAAGAGTTCGAGACCAATCTGAGCAACACAGTGAGACCCCATCTCTACAAAAAATGAAAAAATTAGCCAGAGTGGTGGTACGTGCCTGTAATCCCAGCTACTCAGGAGGCTGAGGCAGGAGGATTGGTTGAGCCCAGAAGTTTGAGGCTGCAGTGAGCTATGACAAGGCCACTGCCTTCTAGCCCGGGCAACAGAGCAAGACCCTGTCATTCATTCATTCATTCATTCATTCATAAATAAATAAAATTAAAAGAACTTTGAACAAATTTTTGTTTATTCTTGCTTTTACCACTTCGTTTAAAAAAATTTATTTTTTAAAATAACAGAGTCTTAATCGATGACCCTGAACAAAAAGAGAAAAGAACACTGAATTATGTAGTAAAGGAGAGATTCTGGACACAACTTATCCTCTCAACACACACAAATGCATTCCACTTTAAGGCTCACCCTGTAAATAAACAAGAATAATGAATTTTAAAAATAAATAGCATTTCTTAAATAAGAAATTGAACATGAGCTGCAGATAATCTAGATTGAAAATAGCATCTTACACAGCACAGATCTATGATTCTAATTGTACTTATAACCTTTTTCTAGGAAAAATGCCCATACACCAAAATTTTACACATAATTCTGGGGGGCTCATAGACCCTCTGACTAGTTCGCTCAGAGACCTTAAGTTAAGGATCCTATTTTCTTTGTAGGCACTACTAATAATAAGGCAATCTGCTAATAACAGGCAATCTCCTTTGCCTATACTGGAGACTGGGATCACACTATCTTTGGAAAGGTGACGGAGAAAGAATTCCCTTCCTACAGGTCTCCCCTCAAATGTCACTTTGTCAAGGACACTATTAAGAAGTACAACAGCCCCATCTCCAGCACTTCTCTGCTGTCCCTACTATATTCTTCCTGCAGCACTTATGATCACCTGACAATTTACCTCTTTATTGTCGTTTCATGGTGGCAGGAACTGTGTGTGTGTGCAAGCACATATGTGTGCATGTGCATTTTGTGCACTGCTGCATCCCCAGGTTCGAGGACAGTGCCTGGCACATGGTGGCACTCTATAAACGTTTATTGAAATGAACGAATTTTAAATGTAATTGAGTGTCTTCAGTGTTTTTACCTGCAGAGGTGTCATTCCCAGCTCATGTCCACTTCTTCCCTGAGCGATTTTGGATAAATCATTTACAAGGCGCTCAAAAATGTTAGCAGCATTTAAATCACAGTCGTAGTTGACATAGATATCCACAACACACTGGGCATCTTGGAAAATAACACACAAGTAATTAGAAATTTTGATCAAAGACACAGCAGTTATATTTTCTTATTAAATGAGATTTGTTTGCCTAAAAATTTCCCCAGTGAACTACCCACTCTGCCACATCTCACTCAGGAAATGTATGTTGGAAGCTGGGGGGGAGGGTGTTTTTAGGCCTGTCCCTGTACAAATTTCCAACGTTCATTCTACCTCTCCAAGCCTCACTTTTCTCATCAAAAAAGGGGCTAACAACTGCCTGATCCACCTCTTAAAGCTGTGTCACTCTTATGAAATTACATTTCACAGACAAGTGGCATGCTTAGTTTGAAGCCACGCAATTCATTGTATGGTGTAAGGTAAATCCGAATTTACCTTAGCTCCCAATCAAGGGTTTGCAGCACCAAAACCTTAGGCCCTGTGATTAACAAACAGTGCTTAGCTTGTAGGCAGGGTGACCAAGTGTCCAAGTTTGCCAGGATTAGGGGGCTTCTGAGATGTGAGACTTTTAATGCTAAAGCTAGAAAGTCCCACGCAAACCAGCCTGAGTTGATCATGCTCTCGAAAAGGAGAAGTGGGGCAGCACTAGTCATTAAGTTAGAATTGGCCTTTTAGGGCATGATTTTCCCAAAACTTTGCTAAAACTCTGAAAGGAGGAGTTAAGGGTCTTAATAAATTAGAGCATCTGAAGGGTTTCTGAGCAAATCCAATGGATGAGCGCCCTCGGGGTGAAAATACCTGCACAGATCCTTGTCAGAGTCTGAATGACCATCCACCTGTGCTCAAAAGAACTTGTTGATGTTTCTAAAATGTTCAGGAATATCTCCTTGAAAAAGACCTATGTGACATGAAGACAAAGGAGGACACCAATTAATAGTTTCAGTTAGAGCTCAAAGACTCCCAAGTCTTTAGCAGCCAAGCCAATCCTATAATAAATGAAGCAGCCTGGACAGAAGGAGCAGAGCTGTGCACACGGCCTGTGAACAGCACCAGGCCTCAGTGTGGGGACAGCCGGCAGGGCGGGGCCCATTAGGGGAGCAGCTGCTGCTGGGCTCCAGCTTCATGTGGAAATGCAGGACCCATGTTCTGATTATTTGAGAATCGGAAATCTGGATTTTCATGTAAAATAGGATTTCTCAATTTGGCAACTAATTCAAATTATTTCAAACAATTTACAGACCAAACAAACATGTTCAGGGAAGCTGAGCTGGGCACACAGACCACATATTTTAAACCTTTGGTTAAAATGAAAGGCACACAAGATACGGCGGAAACGACTTTTTATAAAGTTCTTACTTGCTGGGGCAGCAGCAAGTAGTCTGTGTAACTGTAATTCTGGTGAATATGCCACCAATGATTAACTCATCTGGTACGAATGTCATGAAATAAAAAAAATTTGGAGTCCATACCTCTATCTGCATTTTCAAGTGCATTTTAAAGTTTGAAAGAAGAGTAAGAAAAATGGCGAGAGAGAGCTCAAAGACATCAGGCACTGAAGAGACGCCATTTTTGGACAAGGCCACACAGAGATATTGCTTGATTGCGTTGATGAACATCTCGTGAGTCCTGAACACTGGGCCAGCATTTTGCAACACGGAGAGGAGCAGCTGCAGGGAAACCACCTTGGAACGCAGCTCATGGGATCTGGCAAAGACAATGAAAACAACAAGTGCTAAAAGAGAAAACGTACAACAGTATGTTTCTTGAGAAGGCCTTGCTCCTCTATCAGTGAACGGAATTTTCTGAGAAGTCAATGAGTTAAGAATTAGTCACAGCACCTCAATGTTAGGGTAATGAGGGCAGATGGCATGAGGTGGATCCTCCTGGATCCTGCCAGCCCTGGGAAAACAAGAGCTGCCAACTCCTATTCTTTTTGTCTCTCCCCACCACAAAGTGGAGACATATAGCAGGAGCAAAGTGTCAATGGACACGGGGGAGCAGGTTCTGCAACTGCACTGATGGGATCAATGGCTTCATGTCATTTGCGTGAGGCTGAGACACTGTCCCACTCCATCTTCATACACTGTGGAGATGGTGCTCTTTATCCACCCGCCTCACAACATTCTCGCCACCCCCCCCCCGCCCCGTTCAGGGATGGTAAGAAATGGAAACTTTTCATGGACTATTTTCCTAACGGTTATCATAACATTAGCAGCATTCTCAATAGGAGAATTGGGAATTGTTATTAATGATTAACAATAATGACAGTAATAGTGACTATAAAGTGCAAGGTCTTGTGCTCAGGACAACACCTGTACATTTCATTGAATCAATCCTGTAAGGTGACTTTTCCATATTCCCATTTCTTAGTACGGTAAGTCATACAGCCAGGGAGCAGCTCTGAACAAGAGAAGCCAACATGTGAACGCAGCTCTCTCCAGCCTTGAAGCCTCTGCTTTCTTCACTCCACAGCGCTGACATCTTTGTAGTAGTTTGTTTACTACAAAGAAATGTTTGGCTTCCCTATGTTGAATCTGGGCCTTAAATCTATCTCCATGAAGCACAGGTTTCCAAACAGAATAGGGAACTGAGGATTGCAGGCATCCTGTCCCTCTCCACTCCATGCCATGAGATTTAATCCACTAGTAAAAAGAGGGTACATGTTCAATATACTGACTGTTTTCAGCATATGAACCAAAAAACCCACAAAACTGGGCAAAATCCTGGCTGGTAGGAATAGAGAGACAATTCAATATGAAAGTATGAAAGGACTGTAGGGACTGCATGAGTCTGAAAAGTTGCAAAGTAAGGCTAAATAAATCCCTGCACTTACACCAACAAAGGGACATGGCACTGGGACTTCTAGAAACAAGGAGAATATGAAACACAGTACCATATGCTCCTGGATCACTGGGTTGAAGACAGCCAAGAACTGCCGTCTGCTTACTTTGGATCTGGGGGGCCTTCACCAAGGGGTTTCATGGACAGCTTGCACAGGGAGCGAAACACGAGGAAGGCATCCTTCTGCAGAATGTGAGAGAACCTAGCAGCCACTTGATGTCCTTGGGTGTCTGATTCCTAAGATTAGGAACAAATAAAAGAAAAACCAAAGGTGCAAAACAAAAGGACAACTCTTTTCAAAAATAAGCAATGTTATTATTTCATGCAAATGTAAATTCTTGTATTTATTTAATGGGGAGGTGAGGGATGTCAGGGAGGGGTGAATATGGCAAAACAGGAGCTAATGGGGAGTCACTACAGCAATTCCAAAACTTTGTTCCCTGTCCTTCAAAAAGTTGGTATGGATGGTTTAAAATGATAAATGATCTAAAGTTAAACCATAAAAAAACTAAAACAAATACAGGTAATTATATTAGCTTGGGTAAGAAAGGTATTGCTAAGAATACTTTTGTAGGATAAATGGAAAAAAAAATGATGGGCATTATAAAATAAACTTCTTTACCTAAAAAAGTAAATCCCATTTTAAAATAAAACATAAGAATGAAAAATAAATATTTGTAACATATAACAAAGATTAATATCCCCAACATTCAAAAATTCCTATGATTCATTAAGGAAACATAAAAACCCTTCCTCTAAATGAAAAACAGGCAAAAAACATGAATAAGCAATTCGTCAAGAACTACAAATGACAAATAAACCTAAATGATCTTATCATTGACCATTAAGGCAGGATCCTCCTCCTATCAGACCAGCCAAGATTTGAATAAATGCTATTGCCCACTTCTAATGAGGGGATGGGAAGAGGAGAACTGAAAGCTTGAAGCAGCCAGGGATTCAAGTAATGCCTCCCACAGGCTAATTTTGTGTTAAGATCAAAAGTCTTAAAACTCTCAAGTCTTGACCCAGCAATATCAGTTGCAGGAATTTACCCCTAATCAAGAATTAAGGATGTGCACAAGATTTATCTACAAGGATATTCATTATAGAATTGTTTCCTGTGATAAAACTGGGATAATTTAAAACCCTAATAGGAAATTGGTTAATAGATTATGGTAATCCATATGAAATTTTACATGGCCATTAAAAAGTTTAGTTAGATCTATATGTACTATGCAAAGATGTATGGAAAGACATCCATGATTTAGTGCTGAGTGAACGGAGCAAACTGCAGCCTAGTATATAAATCGTAAGTGTGTCCCTGTAAGTGTATTCTTAATGGGGAATTGGCTCTTGGGGTGGGGGTGAATAAAGCTTTATTCTTTTGATATATAAAGCGCAGATATAGAAACAGTATACAGATATCCAGTTTATCAGTGGCATTAACATTTTATGGGGGGTGATAATTGCGGAAAAAAGGTCTAAACTGATTCCTTGGTGGAGGGGACGTTGATAATGAAAAACAGGTGCAAAGATGCAGAAAGTGGAGTCTGGGGGGAAATTCCTGATTTAAATGTTTACATGTACAATTTTCAAGAGAACAATAAAGCTACTTCTAAAAAATAATGTGGCAGACATCTATGGGCCTGAAAGGTTGTTCATAATATACATTAGGTTTAAAAAGCAGGTTGCAACACAGCACATATATTGTGTCATTCCCTCTAAGTGGAAAATATGTAAAAGAAAAATCTGGAAGGATATAAGATGTTAATGAGGGTTATTTCTGGGTTATGGGATTATGGATAACTTTCCCAATACAGAGAAAAAACAGTGAACTATGTATTTTCTTATTTTTCTGTAATGAATATGTAATATTTTGAGAGAGAAGAAAAATGGCAGGAAATTAAAGTTTTTAAAAGTCTATGTAAACGCGGTTTAATAACAATGTTATATGTAACCAACGTTAGCACATTCCAAGAACTGAATCTGCTAATACAAACATCAGGCCAGGACTGTGTGACTGAAAGCTGAATAGGGCTTGCTTATTTTACTTGCTTCTTTTGATAAAAGATTTAGTTCTGCCATCTTCTAAAAAAGCAAAAATGGGAATGAGTCTGTACAGGATGATCACCAACATAAACATACCAGATTATCCGCTGACGACAAGGACTGCCTGTCGTCGGCTATCCCGTTGGTCTGTGAGTTTTCATCCACTCCTGGGGGAACAGCACATTCCTGGCACTCCAGTTCGCCTAGAACCCTCTCAGGTTCTGTCAGACCATGCTTTTCCACTGCTTCTTAAAACACAAGTGCAAAGTCATAGCCAAGTTAGTGCTGTACTTATCCTAAAAGGCTGGCTGACACCAGAAGGAAGTTCTTCACCACCTCCCAGCTGTTGCTTTTGCCCCTTTTCCTGTGCCACTGGCCTGTGACTGACACAATACTGGAGAAGGCTTGGCTAAGGTGGAACTTGAGCTTTATGAGTGTCTTGTTATCCACAGCTCCACTGCCAGGGTCACAGCAATGCACAACTCTCTCTAGGGGGCTTCATTCATATTTCAATCCATACCAATGGTGCCTCCAGAATTGTGCAGTGCAGCAGCCCTGCCCACTCCCATTCACTTCTGAAAAAGATTAGAAGCAGCTAAACATGAAAAGGACAGATTTTTTTAAAAGAGCCATTAAATTAGGAATTAGAGAAGAGCCAGTTGTAACAGAAAACCTTAGTCACAGAGAAAAATGTACACCTGAGCTTCCTGGCAGCCATGTGAAAAAGGGAAAAGATTAAAGAAAGAATTAAATAGATTTCATCGTTTAATGAAGGAAAGCATACCTGATGATCAGCAGAACAAGGAAATTCCTCTAGGAGGAATTTATCATGTGTATCTTTATATATAAGGGATATTGAACAACTTATTGAGCACAATCTTCAATAATAGCTCTACAAAGCATATATTTATTCCTCAAACACTTATCAAGTAGGCCTATTACGTGCCAAGCTCTTGTGGTAGGGGCTGGAGAATATAGCAGTGAACAAGGCAAATATTCATTATGTGATGACTTCTTGTACAGACCCCAGAAACAAATCTAAAGGTATGAAATAAAATTGCTCCATTTTTAAAGACATTTCTGTAAGAAGTTAAGTAAATAATAGAATCTATATATAGCTTTGTGGTACTTTAACTTAACGAAAAGACAGGGCTTAGAGAAGTGGCTTTTAAATCATGACCTCAGTAAGAAATTAATTTTTTAAATGTCCCAATACAGACATGTGCATATATGAGACACACATTTCATGAAATAATACTTAACACTATATACAGTGTAGTCTGATCATTTGTACTCTATTTCATTTTAAAAAATGCTGATTGCAACCCTCTAAATTTCTGATTTTTCGGCCAATTAATGATTTATTGGTGCTGGAACCAAGTGTTCAACACATAGCCACTGACCTGAGATTTTAGGCAAAAACAAAGGAAAAAAATCATCTAATAGTCATTCTGAGCTATGTAAGTTTAATTCCACTGAAACCCACCATGAAACTGAGGAAATTATGAATGAAGTCTAACAAAATGACTACAGCAACCCAAATGAGAATAAAACCAATCACTAAAAATAAGTAATTTTTGAAGCCCATCTGAAATGGGCAGACTCAGTTTCCACGAGTTCACTGGGCAGGGGAGAGGGAATGACACCACTAAAAAATTTGGCTGAGGACGTTTTTGGAGGAATGAGTTAGGAGGAAAGGCTGGGTCATCGTTGGTTCTTACCTTTAACGGCGGATGTGACTACATCCTCTAAGATGTCCTTCACCACCTCCTGGGCACCTTCATCAGTCCCTACACACAACCAAATACACAAACACACACACATGTGTTTTTCCAAGGGAAAAGAGGAAGGGGAAAAAGGAGATTATGACAATGTTCCTCTAGAGTCATGTTTCAGAAGGCAAAGAAAGAGTGCAAATAAGTACTCCCCACGGCCAAATATGATTGTGTCAACGGAAGACAACCTCCTTGAAATCTGGAAAGCCTTAGGCAGCATCTGCTCTGCTTTCGAGTTTCCCTTTGTGGAACACTAAAACCCCACTGATTTGTACTCTCTTCCTTCCTAAGTCCCAGTTGCTTGGCCCAGGGCTCCCCACCACCCCAGCGTGGTGGCAGGAGCTGGATGTTATCCAGCTATGGTTCTTGGCAGAACAAAAGATGGAGTTTTCTCTTGTGCCTTTGCCTCTGGTACGAACAAGCCTTGGTAAGTGACATGCCTTCTTCCTGTTTCTCTTTCCCCACACCGTAAACCCCAAATTTAGCATGAGATTTCCAATGTGATAGTTGAAGATTTACCAAATTTTAAATGAAATTATTCTGTAAAATGTTAATTGTTTAAGTGGAAGAGGTTCAGTTCCTTTTTCTGGGAAAGAGTTTATAAAGTAAACAGCTCTTGACTAGACTCTCAGAAGTACGTATTACCAATTTATAAAACATTGCATTGACCAGAAAGGCCATCACCTTAAATAGACAAAACCCAAATAACCCTTTTAACTCTGCATTAATGAGGATTTTCAACCCAGCCACTATTTTTATGAGTAAGAGCACTGCTAAGTATTTTCACTTCCATAGAGCACTTAACACACTGTTAACTATCTAAATGGCTCAGTCAATTTATGTGGGAAATACTGATGTTACATGATTTTCTTAGAGGGTAAAAAAGAACTTGAAATTAGAAAACTCCAACCATGGTCACAATCTTCTAAACTCACTTCATCCAAAAATGATGATTTAAGACTAGATCAGTGTTACCCCAACTTTAGTCATTCTCATACCTTCATAATTTTTGTAATATTGACGCTCCACTTATATTATTATATATTTTATATATTACATATATAGCGGTGCACTGCACAATAATGTTTTGGTCAACGATGAACTGCATATACACTGGTGGTCCCATAAGGTCACAATGAAGATGAAAATTTCCTATTGCCTGGTGAGGTCTTCATAGAGCAGCGTATTACTCACATGTCTGTGGTGATGCTGGTGTAAACAAACTTACCATGCGGCCAGGGTATACAAAAGCACAGCACATACAATTACGTATATTACACAGTATCTGATAATGCCAGTAAACAACTATGTTAGTGGTTTATGTATTTACTATATTAAACTTTTAACTGTCATTTTTGAGTGTGCTCCTTCTACTTATTAAAAAAAAAAAAAAAGTTGGCCAGGTGCCATGGCTCATGTCTGTAATCACAGCACTTCTGGAAGCCAAGGCAGGAGGATCGCTTAAGGCCAGGAGTTCAAGACCAGCCTGGGTAACATAGTGAGACCCTGTCTCTACAAAAAATTTAAAAATAAGCCAGGCATGGTGGCATGTAGTCCTAGCTACTCAGAAGGCTGAGAGAGGAGGATCACTTGATCCCAGGAGTTCGGGGGTGCAGTGAGCTATGATTAAGCCATTGTACTTCAGCCTGGGGCAACAGAACTCCTGGCCTCAGGTGATCATCTTGCCTTAGCCTCCTGAGCAGCTGGGACTACAGGCAAAAGCCACCTCGCCAGCCCATTTGCTCTTCTTAAAGGTGATGGTGCACCTCCATTCTGACCCACTGTTAGCAGGTTTGGGGTTTGCTTCTTATAGGCAATCTGATTCCCATGTTCCTGGGAAAGCCTCATGGGGTGTACCAAGTACTCACAATAAAATTCACAGCAATATACTAATGGCAAGTTATTTTCTCTTTGTTAGAGCAGAACTTCAACTTATTATGTTTTTGAAAAAGTATATTCCAGAAATCATGTTTTTCTCCGTTCATTCAAAAAATGTATTTACTGAATGTCTGCTGTGTGTGCCAAGCACTGTTCCAGGTGTTGCGAGTATAGTGGTAAATAGGGCAGCCTTGGCCTCAGACTGGGAATAAGCGAACAAAAACCCTTTAGTGATTTCAGGTATTGATAAGTGCTATAAAGAAAATGAAAGAGGATGATGGGACAGATGTGATGGGAGCTCCAGAGAGTCATCAGGGAAGCCTCTCTCAGTCTGAACTGAGAGACCTGAAGATAAAGGGGGATGGGGGTGGGGAAGGGAAAGTGCAAAGGCACTGAGGCAGGAACAAGCATGGCCCTTTGATCACCACAAACAGCACCTATGTACTGTGTAGCAAACGAAGGGGAGAGAGGTGTAAGAAGGGGACAGAAAAGTGAGCAGGGGCTAGGTCACACAGGGTCTTGCAAACCATGGGGGTGAGGTGGGCATGGATTTCACTCTGAATGGGATGGATGGGGAATTACCAAAGGGGTTTGAGCAGGGGCGGGTCATGATCTAATTCATACTTTGAAGAGATTACTTTGGCCACTGTACAGAAAATGGGCTAGAGTGGAAGCATTTTAATGCAGCTCAGAGAGAATTGGGTTTTGTATCTGCCCAACTATGCTTACTATAATGTGTTTAAATATTAATACTTATTGACTGACCACAGCTTGATAAGGGTTGCAGTAAAAGCCCGGCCCTTGACCTGAGGAGTTGTGAAGGTAAAGATGATGTCAGATACAGACGGTGGGCTGGGAGTTCCTGAGCACCGCCCTTATAAAACACGACAGCAGGAGTACATGGTTACGCCACGCTCACCCTGAAACAAACACCACTCTTGGTGGAACTTTCCTTGAGTAAATGGATACAAAACAATATTCCAGCAATAACACTTGGTCTGCTCCCATGTAGGCCAAGCAGCCTGGTAAAGTATAAAGGAATAAAAGCTGCTCAAATATGCGCATTCTAGTAGGGACCACACTATCAACAGAAATTATCAGCAATGTGACTGAAGATACAAGATCAACTATAAAGATGATCAGATATTTTGTGTAGAACAACCAGCTTGAGCGAGGAATTACTTGACAGAACCACTTGGGAAAGGTAAATTTCTGAAAAAATAAGAATCCAGTTCATACAAATTTTCTAAGGAGAGATGCAAATGCTCAGAAATAATCTTTTGACAACTCAATTTTTCTTGCCTAATAGTGCATTTAACACTATAATCAGGTGGGGGATGTTCTTTCATTAAAAAAAGCCAACAAGTGATGTACTTGGTCACCAGGAAGAAAACAAAACTATCTTTCCATCCAACTACCCACTCAACCACCTTCTGGCTCCTTCCATAGATGTGGCCCCTAACTGCCTGGCACAGGGCAAGGCAAGGCATGGAAATCAGTGTGTAATGACAATTGAGGCCCTTGTCCTCCTCTGGATGACATTAAATGATTAATTACCCAATCAATTAACTACTGGGAGATAAGTGCCCCAAACTGAACCCACTGCACTGAGGCTGACATGAAGTAGCAGCTAGATACAACCCAGGAACCATTTAGAGAAAACTGCGCAGCTGACAACGGGACATCAGACCTCATGCCTCACTGGTTTTGTTCCCCAAGAGAAAAGCAAAGGGGAAGTCAAGGGGAAGGCCCAGAAATAGATAAGCTGCTCTCAGAGGTTTCCTCCAGATGTTACCAAACACCTTCTGCATCTGCCCCTCACACATGACGATCCCCTCTCATACTTGGACAGGCTCAGCTGCACCGCACCAGGCCATACCTGATAGTGACGGGCCTCTTTCTCTGGGCGAATCTCCATTTTCTGAGCTCACTTTTCCAGAATCACTCTTGGCATGTTCACCGTTGGTTAAATCTGTTTTTTCAGGAGTTGTCGGTTTGCTTTGTGCCTGGCTCTGCTTCAAACGACTGAACTTTGGGGATACTGCTGCAGCTTGGATCACAGGGGACTGGGGTTTCGACTGGACTGGTTTTTCCAATTCTCTGGCCTCCTGCAACTAAAAGGCAATAAAAAAGGGATCCTATCTAAGTGGTCCCAGTATTTTGGTAAGAACAAAAATTATGCCAGCCTATTGCTCTAAAAATTTCTAGCCAGAAGAATCAAAAGTTTAAAAGAAAATAAGTTCCGCCAGGCGGGGTGGCTCGCACCTGTAATCCTAGTACTCTGGGAGGCCGAGGAGGGAGGACTGCTTGAGGTCAGGAGTTTGAGACCAGCCTGAGCAAGAGAGAGACCTCGTCTCTACCATAAATAGAAAGAAATTAGCCAAACAACTAAAAATAGAAAAAATTAGCTGGGCATGGTGGCGCATGCCTGTAGTCCCAGCTACCTGGGAGGGAGAGGCAGAAGGATCGCTTAAGCCCAGGAGTTTGAGGTTGCTGTGAGCTAGGCTGACGCCACAGCAAGAGAGTGAGACTTTGTCTCAAAAAAAAAAAAAAAAAAAGAAAAGAAGTTCCTTTGACAAACTCAAAGCAAATTCTGAATGCAAACTTCAAAATCCATGCAAGATTCTCTCTCTGATGTTTAAAGCAAGAACAAAAGCACAGTACAAAGAAGTCACAGGAAGAAGAGGTAAACTTTAAAGTGCTAGTCAATCTTCACAGGTACCGAGGTCACACGTGAAAGAGAACAGATAGTGGTGATGTCACACGCCCAGTGGCTGATAAGTGCTGCCACTCACCACTTGGTTTTCCATGCGGGTGAAAATGACGTTGAGCATCTGAGTAAGGGTAGCCTTGGCAGTGGTTTGATTGATGAGATTTTTGCTGGCCAAATAGATATTGTAACATGTCCTCACTGTCTGCAGGATAGTGCCTTCGTGAATTTCAATGTGTGGGGAAGTCACTGCGGTCAGAAGAGCCTAAAACAGAAATTGGAAACCTTTGCCATCAGGAATGCCCACCACTCTCCTGCCCTCCCATGGCCAAACTTTTCCAGAGGGTTTGGCTTTGTTTTTCTTTTGTGTTTTTTTAAAATAAAGATGGCTCTGCAAACTAAACAGGATGATTAGCACCAAGAGCCAACTCCCTATAGTGAGTTTAAAACAATTAACAGCTTCATAAAATCCTAATTATTTGAAACAATTAAGTTGTATTGAAGGAGGTTTTCTACTGGCTCACTTTTTAAAAATCCAAACTTTGGAATGTTAATACTGATTGAAAAACCTAGAATGAAAAATAGATGTTTCTCTCAAGAGGAAAAATGCTCCACTTGATCTTGCCCACGTTAATCACAAAATACATGTTTCCATGGGCAGTCAGTTTCCCAATTCCCTGGTGGGTTTTCCAGATAGTTTTAAGAAAGGTACAGCTAACATGGAGCTTCTCCTCCTAAAGCTAATATATTCAGGACTTAAGATTTGGAACTTTGGCTACACCCATCCCGATCCTGTTCTCAGACAAGCAGATGGCACCATCCCATGCCAAACCATTCCTGGCAGCAGAAATGAACAGGGAAGTGAAACAGGGGAACAAGGGGACAGAGGCAAGTTGGTGATACGAATATTAACGAGGACCTGCTGAGAAATCCCAGACTGGGAATCCAGAATTTCAAGGGGAAAGACCAGAGGATTTCAAGCCAATTTAATTCACAAGCAATTTACATTGTTATTAGTGGAACTATTTACTTTGAAAACACACCTGCTTCCACTCTTCTCGTCTCAGTCCACGCTAATAAATTCTGACACCTAACGAAAGATCTAAGTGATGCTTCAATTCTTCTGTTCCAGCTTAGCACCAGCTGAGACAACTAACACATGGTAAATTAGAAATCCAAATTCCCAGAGGGGACTTGCTTTCTAATTTAAAAACCAGGCCAGCCAAACAAACAGAAATACCTTAATTATTTGTAACTGAACCCCTTCATCGGTCTGTGGGCCCTGAAAACAATTGCAAATGGTTTCAACAATCCTGTCGATCAGCCGCTTCCCTGGGGCTCCGCTGTCGGGGGCATTGCCGGTGATGTGCCCATAAGCGATGAGTTTCTAAACAGATAAAGAATAGAGATTACAGTTTCTGCTTGGCTGGGACTGAGGCCTCCATGGCAGTCCATAGCGCAAAAGATGGTCAGTGACCATGGCCTGTAACTTCCAGTTCCTACAGATCCCCCTGCTCCCCACGAGCCAGGCAGGTTCAGCCACTGTGAGTGCGGCCTTTGTCCTGTCTCCTGATAGCAGGTCCCTGCAGTGGTGATACCGTGTCTAGTGAAGAAGACAAGGTGCAGCGCACTCCCCAGTACAAAACCATTTGTGCAAAATACTGTGGGATTGAAAGTTGTACATACCAGACACCGAAAGCAGATCGGCATTTGTCTAGAGCTGGGGGGTAGGGAGACATGGGGAGTGACTGTTAGTGAGGATATAAAAATGGTCTGAAAATTTGATTGTGGTGATGGTTAAACTAACTCTCCCAATCAACTAAAATTCACCGAATTGTACACTTTAAACAGACAAATTGTATGTTAATTGTATCTCAAAAAAGCTGTAAAAATTATATACGTACATACATACATACATTTTTTTCCTTTAAATAGAAAGATACCTAAGAAACAAATGATAACATGTTTTGCTTGAGGGCAGGGGCGAGACTGGACACTTTGTAGTAAATCTTTTCATTCTTCTTCAATGTTGAATCAGTCAGCATACTTTTTATTCCAAAAATTAAAAAACAGTAATTGCATCCTGTACTATGCCATCAAACTGTGTGTCTCCCAAGTGGCTGCTTAGGCCATACCCCCTCTGTCAGGTTAGAAATTGGTTTGGACAGGGCAGCCTTTTCAGAGGCCACCCGCCTGTGTCACCTCACCCGAGATGTGGATTTCAGTGTGGAGAATCTGAGAGCTAGAAGGGACCTCAAAGGGTAGTGGCAGGATCATTCCTAAGCCTGGCTGAAGTTCAGAATCATCTGGGGGAGCTCATCAGAAATACAGATTCCTGGACCTCAAGCCTGACCTACTGAACCAGAAGTTATAGGGCAGAGCCCAGGAATCAGTGTTTTTCTCCAAGCTATGCAGGTTATTTTGATAACCAGATAAAAAAACCACTTGAACCACTCATCTGGCACGTGCATATATGAACTCTAAGGCACTCTCTGCTTCCAGCGACTTGGTAGACTCCTAAAAATGCATTTCTGTTCCTTATCCTTTTTGGCTTCTGGCTGTTCCCATTCTTGCCTCTACCCACACAACGTGGACTCAGGCTCCTGAGGTTATCTCCAGAGCCACCACCACTGTGGGGGAGGACTGGCCATCCCTGCAGAGGCCTGATGCTGTTTGTCAATGGCTTTTCCTTTTTGTTGGCTACAAAAGTGTTGCCATTCAATAAGCAGAAAGAAAAATGAAGTGAGAGAGTGGCTGAGAGCAGAAATGCGATACTGCTGCATCGAGTGACTGAATGAGCAGGAGAGAGGCGTGAACACACTCTGCTGCTCAAGTCCAACCCCGGCAGCTCCAGATGGCGGGTGCGGAGTGTGAAGGGCAAGTCCAGATGCCCTTTGCCTCACCGCTCTCATAGCTGCTTTGGACGCACCCTTCCTAGGAGGGCAGGGCCAGCCACCTGGAGAATGAGCTCTGGTTTCTGACACTGCTTACTCTTTCCTAATGGACTCAAGCCTGTTTTGAGCACTGGGTTGTGAGAGGGATGGTCTAGGAACTCCTAAAATGTGAATGTTGAAAAGCAGTCTCTGTAGAAGCCAATACTGATGCAAAGCAAAGATGGAGGTGAATTATTAGATGTTTAATTAAAGTATGAAAAAGGAAGGGAAGTATTCTCCCCTCTATGGACTCCTTGAAGGATACATTACCCTTCACACTGAAAAGGGTGTCAAGTATGATTTCCCTCCCTTGCCTGCGCAGTGAGACAGGGCCGGAAGAAAGCAGAGTTCCTGTATCCTGTGGATCTTTCTGGTTCTGCTTTCTCATCCTTCTCTGTGCCAGACGCTGTTATAGGTAGTAGAGATACAATAATAAGGTAGATGTGATCGTTTTTCTCAGAGTTTATATTCTCTGGGGAGACACACCAAAGCGAAAAGTCCTGACTAGGACCAATAGGTGATTTGTAGATACCCTCCCGTCTCCTCCTACTCTCCCCCGGGTAGATGTCTTATTCCTTGCAGATATGGTGAGGGGGTGGGAAGGACAGAGGAGGGAGGCCTTTGGGCAGCTGGCCCACTGATACATGTGTCCAAGGGGGCTTGCATGGGGACATTCTGGCATAGAGGGGAAGATGAGGAAAATATAACACATTGTAGCATGCCTTCATTGGACCCAATGCACAAGGGAACATGCTATGTGGTCAGTTTCTTGGTGCAAAATTAGACACACTTAGTAGTAAACAGAAGTTGGAGTCAGTAAGCCCTATTCCAACTTGACTTACCCATATGGATGAATATATTTGGTACAAATTAAGTATTCCAACTCACTGGTCTACTCTTCTGAAGTTAGTTCCATTTCTTTTGCCCCAGTGATAAGAATCCAAAGAGTCACCTCTGACCCAGAGAAACTGAGGGACATGTCCAAGGAAGTATGCATAGGGACGTTCCCTGTAATCCTGTGTGTAAATGCCTCTCTACAGGAGAGGGATAAATAAAATGGCACAACATAGTCAAAAGAAATGTGCTAGATCTGCATGTAGCAATATAGCTTTCAATAGATCTTTTTAAAACTTTTTATATTGAGACAGGGTCTCACTCTGTTGCTCAGGCTGGTCTCAAACTCCTAGCCTCAAGTGATCCTCCTAACCTTAAGTGATCTTCCCGCCTTGGCCTCCCAAGTGCTGGGAGTAGAGGTATGAGTCACTGCATCCGAGCTAGAGCTTAAAAACACTGTAAAAAGCTGCAGATAAATGTGTATAAGTGATACCATTTGAAAAAGAAAAGAAAAGAGAAGAAAGAAAATGACACACTTAAACAGGCAACTGGGTTTGGGGCTGGCATCCCAGGGACTTCAGTCTTATCTGTAAAGTTCTAAAAACTTTTTAACAGAGAACATAGTCATGTACAACACATGTAATTACTAAATTACATGTAATTAAATTCATGTAAATTATGTGATTTTTAAATGTGCATTAAAAAATGTAAAGTTTTCTGGAAGTAAGAGCTAAAAGATACCTGTGGTATGAACAGGACAGCTTAGACCAATGGTTTCCTATGGCTTCAACTGGGATGTAAGAAGAAAATATTAGAATTCTATGTCTGTCTATTTTTTATCTTGTCCTTTTAAAAGTTCTATTTTTGCATGTTTTAGAATGCATATATTTTTAAGGCTAGTAACTATATACACTTTAGTAACACTAGTCCATGTATATAATTTTAAATTGAAGAAATATAAAAATATACTAAAAAAATTTTTTTATTATTGATACATGACCAGAAAAACTTAGAGACCACTTACTAGCTTAGATAAGACTGATCCTAGTGCTCCTTACTCAGAGCCCTGGTTTGGGTAAGTGTGTAGCAGCCCACTCACAGAAGGAAAGGAATGCAGAGAATCTTTATCACTGATAGAGCAAGCAGCAGGGAGAGGGAACCTGAGCTAACTGTGCTCATTGCAAACCAAACCCGGAGGCACTTTTGCCACCCCATCACCTTCCAAGCTCAAGGAATGAAGGGCACAGTGTGGATGTGTCTACAGCTAGCTTCAATTCTGCCAAAACAAAGTTTTACCCCTAGATGCTGGCCTTCCATTTCCAAGACAGAAGTTACCACACCCATACTGGGAAAAGCCAAGGGGAAGTGCATTTTTTCCTTTTAGTAGTCCAGGAAGCACCCAGGACACTTTCAATGCCATAAAAAGAATGATCCATCTTGCATTTTGTATACTAGTGTAAAAAATCCTGGTGTACCTATTAAATTCCAGAGAACTTCCATTCTAAAAAGAGAGATAACCATATACCATAAGCCTCAGGACTCGCAGTGAGCAAGTAAGCAGGATGTCAACATTTCCATTTGAAATCATACTTAACTCATACAAGAAGGTCCAGAAATAGACGATTTCTGTTATTAAAGAGGCCAGAGCTACAGGGTGATAGTTAAGAGCAGGGATCAGCAACCTTTTTCCATAAAGGACCACATACTAGATACTTAGGCTTTGTGGGTCATATGGTCTCCACTGCTGCTACTCATCCTAGCCATAGTAACAGGGAAGTAGCCATAGATACATGAACAAATGCAGCCATGAACATGGCTGTTGCTATGGATTGAGAATTTGTGTCTCCCCCTAACCCCCAACGTGATGGTTGGGCCTTTGGGAGATAATACTAAGTTTACATGAAGTCATGTGGTTGGGGTCCCCATGATGGGATTAGTGCCCTATATAAGAAGAGACCAGAGAGCTAGCCCTCCCTCTCCGACACGCGAGGAAACAATGAGAATGTAGCCATCTGCAAGCCAGAAAGGGGCCTTCACCAAGAACAAAACCAACCAGTACCTTGTTCTTGGACTCCGCAGCCTCCAAAACTGTAAGAAACAAATGTCTGTTATTTAAGCCACACAATCTATGGTATTCTGTTACAGAAAACTAAGACAGCTATGTTCCAATAAAACTTTATTTACAAAAGCAGATGGCAGGCCAGATTTGGCTCATGGGCCAAAGCTGACGACTCCGGTTAGTAACACAGACATGGGGTGAGTAAGTGCTAGCTACCCATCCAATTGCATCACTTCCTGGCCAAGGAACCTTGGACTGGGCTGGTCACTTTGTTCTCTAAGCCTCAGTTTCCTCACTTCCAAAATGAGAACAAGAGCAAGTACCTCAGAGGGCTGTTGAGAAGATTAAACACGGTAAGCTGGATGAGGCACTTAGGGCCCACCCCAGGCTAAGAGCTCAACACACGTCAGCCATTGTTCTTAGTACACCAAAAATGTCAACTGCCAGCACTGGCTTCCAAACTAAACGTGGACATGGGGAGAAAACAACTAAAATTAAACTTATGCCAAATTTCCTCAGAAACGTTCACAGCAAAAATATTTTAGGATAGAAGTAGGACTGGAGTCTGCCATTTAAGAATTCTTGGCTCATTATATGTTTTACATAGGACAATCTGTACAGAATTATATTGAATGACAAAATGTTTTTTCATTGGGAAGAGTTGCTTCTGTGAAGAAACTGTCATCAATTCTCATGTCTGTATATCAAAGAAGACAGATTAATAGAGTAAATATTAGACTAGATGCCAAAAATGTGGCATGACCACTGCCACTTTGCAGCCCTGTGCCTCAGTAGACATAACCAATCAATCACAGCACTCTGTCAAGAAACATTTTCCACATAGCTCCCTAAGCAATCATAATATAGAATCTATTTACCACTTCTGTTCTAGAAAGTACTGATAAATGTGGATCTATTCAACGTATTTTTAAAATTTATTAAACTTTTCTCATTGATGCGGGTTGTCCACTGATGTCAAGAATAAATGTTCTTGGGCCAGGTGTGGTGGCTTACTCCTGTAATCCTAGCACTCTGGGAGGCCAAGGTGGGAGGAGTGCTTGAGCTCAGGAGTTCGAGATCAGCCTGAGCAAGAGTAGTGAGATCTTGTCCCTACCAAAAATAGAAAAATTAGCCAGGCACAGTGGCATGCACCTGTAGTCCCAGCTATTCGGGAGGCTGAGGCAGGAGGATTGCTTGAGCCCAGGAGTTGGAGGTTGCAGTGAGCTAGGATGATGCCACGGCACTCTAGCCAGGGAGACAGAGTGAGACTCTGTCTCAAAACAAAACAAAAAGAATAAATGTTCTTGGAGGTAATCAGAAACCTCAGGAGTAGGCCTTGAGAAAAAGTACAAGAATGCTAGACTAGGAATTAAGAAACCCAAGTTGTAGTCCTGTTTCTGTCTCTCACTACCTATATATTTCTGGACAAATCATCTTCACTTCTCTACTCCTGCCTCTTCCTCAGTAGAAGATAATTTATAACAAAGTTATTTGTGGCTCTACATACAGCTGGTCCACATTATTTGCAGATTCTATATTCGCAAATGCACCTACTCACCAAAAATTTTTTTATTTATAAGCCCCAAATCAATACTTGTGGAGCTTTTGCGGTCATTTTCGGACATGCACAGAGCAGTGAAAATTCTGAATCACTTGATAGTCATGTTCCTATTTGAGGTCAAACAAGGTGACACTCTGCCTTGTTTCAGTTCTACTGTAAACAAGTGTCTTTTTAGCAGTGTGTTTCGTATTTTTTTTCACATTTTTGTCTTTTTTTTGGTGATTTTGCAGTTTAAAATGACCCCCAAGTATGTGCTGAAGTGTTTCCTAGTGTTCCTGAGAGCAAAAGGTAGTGATGCGCCTTAAGGAGAAATTACAAGTGTTAGATAAGCTTTGTTGAGGCATGTACTATAGTGCTGTTGGCTCTGAGTTCAATGCTGATGCATCAACAATACATATTAGATAAAGTGTCTTTAAACAGAAATACATCAAGACTAGAGGCTCAAGGGAATTTAACTCTCTATTTCCTCTAGGAACAAAAGTTCAGTGTTTATTAATTCGGTGTTCACGGTGACTTTACAGAACATTACTACAAATAATGAGATTCCACTATATCTATTTCTCTACTTAATATTATGAATTTTAATGCTATCAAGAAAGAGGCAGCATAGGCAGGGCGCGGTGGCTCACGCCTGTAATCCTAGCACTCTGGGAGGCCGAGGCGGGCGGATCGTTTGAGCTCAGGAGTTCGAGACCAGCCTGAGCAAGAGCGAGACCCCATCTCTACTAAAAATAGAAAGAAATTAGCTGGACAACTAAAAATACATAGAAAAAATTAGTCAGGCATGGTGGCACGTGCATGTAGTCCCAGCTACCTGGGAGGCTGAGGCAGGAGGATTGCTTGAGCCCAGGAGTTTGAGGTTGCTGTGAGCTAAGTTGACGCCACGGCACTCTAGCCCAGGCAAGAGAGGAGACTCTGTCTCAAAAAAAAAAAAAAAAAAAAAAGAGGCAATATAAAAGTGTTTTATGTGCCCATATGTGTCAAATACTACTATTATCCCATTGGATTATTTTCCTCCAAAAAAAAAAAAACAAAACAAAACAGAAAAACAGAAAAACAGAAAAACAAGTACTCCAATTAATGCTAAAGGTTTCTTTAGAAAAACATACATAAGTGAAATCAACAAATAAAATACTTTTAGGAAAACGAATTCTTATTTTAGCTAAGGAGCTCAGATCCCTATCTCTTCCCTCATGAGATCTCTGAAAAGGATAAGTTGAACGGGCCAGGAGTGATGGCATGTGCCTGTGATCCCAGCTACTCGGAAGACTAAGGCAGAAGGATCGCTTGAGCCTAGGAGTTTGAGGCCAGCCTGGGCAACATAGTAAGACCCCCTCGCTACAATGAAAAAACAGAGTAAGTTGAACTGCTCCTTTCTCCATCATCTCTGAGAACATTCTGAGTACCAGGGCAATCACTAGCATAGCTGTGTGTAAGGGCTGCCTGCGGCTTGGGAAGAAGCCCCTTTATACCACCACGTTTAAACATGGTACCTGCAAGCAGTCGAGGGACGTGCTGACCACTCGTGGAGACTTGGATTGGCAAGCTAGCTCGAATGGAAGGAAATACTTGTCAGCTTCAATGAAGTTTGCCTTTGGTGGTGCAGCTGCGCCAAGCCTAGGAAAAAAGCAAGAGAGGGGAAATGAAAAAAAAAACTTGCTTTTCCTATACCTTACTCTAACTTCCCATTCCACTTGCAACCATTTAATCAAAAGTGCCTGCAAACTATGTCTCGGGGCCAGACATTAAAAGTTGAACCCACACATTAGGAAAAAACCACTGAAGTGCTACATGCAGAAAGCAAGGTCTCTAGTTATTGTGTGGAATAACAGCATCTTGGACCGAATCCTGGTGGCAGCCATGCCAGAGCTGTATTTCTGAAATGTGACTAACTGGCTTCCTTACTGTGAAGATAAGAAGACAGCGAGCTGTCCTCGTGCCTAAGGAAGCACGTCATACCACAGACTTCGCTGCTTCTGTCAAGAAAAGGTATGACAGCATTAACTTGATCTTTACCCTTTCCTCCAACTAGGCAAGTACTGAGGCAATAACCTGTTATCACAGTCAGCCTAGCCTCCGTGCAAACACACACAGAATTCCACCATGTGCCCAGAGAGTGTGAGGATTGGAAAAATGAGAACACGTGTAGAAAAGGGCATTTCTACGCCACTCTCTAGTCCCTTCATACCGTGCCCCAGCAAGGAGTAAGTGCTATAGCTTACCTCTGCTTTTCTATTTCTGCTTTGATCTCATCTGGTGGGGAAGAAGGAAAAGCACATTAGGAGCACGTAACATTTATGTAAAAGAAAATTTTACTGAAAGATATCTGGAAACCATTGAAAAGAATGTCTATGAGATGTTTAAATAAAAAAATGCTGACATGAAGTGAAAGAAGTAATTATAACAGCAATAATAATAGCTAACACTTCCATGGTAGTGACTACGTGCTAGGCATTATTCTAAGCACATGCTTTAACTCATTTAATCCTTATACCAATCCTGTGAGGCATGTACTATTATTGTCTCCATCTTAGAGCAGGGTTTTCAGCCTTGGCATTACTGACACTTCGGGTTGGGCGATTCTGTCATGGGGCTGTCCCATGTGTTGTGGAATGGTTAGCACCATCCCTGGCCTCCACCCACTGGATGCCAGTAGCACCCCCACCTCCCCTGCAGTCCTGAAAACCAAAAATGTGTCTAGACATTGCCAAGCGTTCCCTGAGCAAAATTGCCTCTGATGAGAACCAATGATTTTGATGAGAAAACCAAGGCACAGGAAGGTTATGTAGCTCGCCTGCTGTTACACATCAAGAACTGGGGAACCAGCAATTGAACCCAGGCTTTTTAGCTCTACAGCCCACATTCTACTTATTTCCCTGCTCTGCTGAATGTATGTCAGTGATCACTAGTTAACACAGTATCATGGTCATATAAGCATCTCCACTGTATAAATATATGCACAGAAGACTGCAAACAAATATAACAAAATACTGAACCAAATAAAATGTTGAAAGTTGTCTAAGTAATGGGATGATGATTTTTTTAGCAAAAGTTTTTAAAACAACTGTGGTAAAATAAAATGTACATAACCTATAATCTACCATTTTAACCATTTTTAAGTGTACAGTTCAGTGGCATTAAGTATATTCACACTGTTGTGCTAAGGCACATGTAATATTTATAAATTAAAATTAATTTCAAAATCTTTACCATGGAGTATACAACAACTACAGAGTCAGGGTTATTGTGTCATTATTCAGAAACCATAATCTCAGAAACACTCTTCCAGAAGAGCAAGGTTTTGTGGCATTGAAACAAAGGAACACCCTGTCTAAAGACACAGAGTTCCCCCCAAACCACTGAGTCAAACATATTCCTACATTTTAGGCCCACAGACACCACGTATTATCACAACAGGCAAGGGAAGGTTTGTCCTGAATGCCATGTATTCAGATAATCTCCAACAGGCCAGCCTCCTTTATGCAGTCTCTTGAGATCCAATGGTTTAGATATGGCATTAGTTATCCTAGCAACCCCAAGACACAGTTCTAGAGGTTACAAATTTCCTTTTCTTGGTCAACTCCATGCTAGACTGAACTTTAGAAGGTGAAAACCAAGTAACTGACTCCCTAGAGGTAGCAATTTCTAACTTTCAGGCTGGTCTTTCAATGTCTGCTTATTACACACAGAAGAAAACAGGAGAGAAACACCCAGATGACTAACACCAAGCCTTATTCTCAGGGACCATAAGGTCTCTGACACACAGGATCTGTTACAGACAGCTACGTGGCATGGATCCTGCACTTCAGGGAAGAGCATCCACTAAGGCAGGAGCTCTGGTTCCCCCCAGCAAAGGCCCACCAGGCTGGGGAAGTAGCTCAGGAGATCCAGCCCATGAGGCTGGCGGCCAAGCTGTCAGCTTTCAGAATCTATACCTATTAACACCAAGGCTCTGCTTGGGTGGCAAGATCTTGTCACTCTGTGACATGTCAGAGGGGCACTGCTGCCCAAACTCAAATGTAAGGTTTCCTTCCAATCATGGTTATCTTGCTGGAGCGCAGTTTAAACGCTAAAGTGTATCTGAAGCAAACAGGCCTTTGCTAGAGTCCGGACTGGCCTCCGAACTCTAAAATAGTCTGTTTTGGAATGCCACTGGTGCAAACTCACCAGTCAATGAATCGACCACCAGGACATCTACTCACTGAGGCACAGCGGATAATAAAACCAAACGCAGAGGTTATATCAATTACAAAGGCCCATGGAGACCAAGCAGGAAACACCAAGGAGAAACATGGTGGGTGTAAGACATTGGGGACAGGGAGGATCCCCTCTCTACCCAACAGGGTAAAGGGAGCTCCAGCTCCTCAGTCCCAGCTGCCTGGAACCTCTGGAGATCCTAAACCCAGAGGTGTCAGTTGTTTGATTTTTTCAGAGGTCAAAATCCAGATTTTAAGTGAAAGCTTCAATTGCAATTCAAAAGCAACTTAATATTATGGCTCAAATAAGACTAATGTGCAGGCTGCCTTGGCCCTAAGACTACCAGTTTGCAACCTTTGCTTTAAGAGACAGAGAAGAACCAAGGAGAGAGTGCTTCACTAGCTGCAGAAAAGTAACTGCAGGGGATAAAAGTGGTTTTAAGGACTATGGGCCAGGCACAGTTGCTCGTGTCTGTAATCCCACAGCTTTGGGAGGTTGAGGGGGGAGTACTGCTTGAGCCCAGGAGTTTGAGACTAGCCTGGGCAACACAGAGAGACCCCATCTCCACAAAAAAATCAAATAAATTAGCCAAGTGTGGTGGCATGCACCTGTAGTCCCAGCCACACAGGAGGCTGAGGCAGAAGGATCGCTTGAGCCCAGGTGTTTGAGGCTGCAGTGAGCTATGATGGTGTCACTGCACTCCAGCCTGGGTGATAGAGACCCTGTCTCTTAAAAAAACAAAAATAAAAATAAAAGACCATGACCAGTGCTATGAGGACAAAATATCAAGTTTGTAGAAGCTAAATGTCACTCAGTCAAAGAGCAAAGAGCAACTAAGCAGCCAGAGGATCAGAGTTCAAGGCCAAACTCCAACGTAAATCTTACAGATAAAGAAACAAGACCCTAATCCTCCTTTCTGGCAAGCTCCAGCACAACCACAGCAAAGGCACACTCTGGTTTTCAAATGGGAAGGAGAAGGGCCAGCATGACCCACAGCAGCAGCAGCGCAGGGTACAGTGACCAAAGAGCGCAGCCCCCCACTGTGAGCAGGAAAGGGGAACTGTACCACTGCTCCCTGGGAGAACAGCTGCAAAAGTCCCAGAAACTGCGGTCGCAAATCCTGTGTTCACAGATTTTCCTTAGTTTTTCTTAATTCATCCTTAAGTATTCCCACAAGAATTAGGAATTGTTGCACTTTCTAAACTACTCTTTGCTGAGGAAAAAACAATCTTCAAAGTCCTCTCTACTAGGCACAGTAGGGGCCCAGACGATACAGCCCCTTTGTAAC